AGCCTGCAGAAGGCTCAGTGGAAACGAGCAGTATATCAGATAAGGTCTAACGTACATTTTATAAAGGCTGGTTCTCAAATTGATGTTTTAACATTTCAGAGAATAAATTCGGTAAATCGGCGTGCTTCTGAAACAATCAGAGCGCAGGGTTCCAACAGATTAAGACCTTTAGAATATGATATGACCAGATCCTTAATAACTCCAGGCACATTTAGGTCGTGACTGGCTATGCGTAGCTCAGACTGATGATCGGTGACAACAACCATAACGGAGCATTTGTATCAAGAAAGCGAAAGACGCCATGTGCAATATCACTGAGCAAAGGCATGAAAATCGTTTTTATGAACTCGAGTACGATATTGCGATCGGCCGGTTTATATCGATAAGCAACTGTTGGCAAAATTATTTGAAGGGCACACTAGATATCTATTCTCCCCGCCCAACTGCTTAAATTATTTTGTGGTCAAACATTTAATTCTTGGTTAGTGAGCGTAAACTAATATATAATTGTGGCGGAATTGATCAAAAAATATTAAATTAAATGGGATTACGTTTGTTTTATTATGTTAAATAGAATAAAATTCAATCAACATAAACGTCTATTGAGTATAAAACGAATGCTAATCGAGAGAAACTCGACCTGAAATAGGCGGAATATAACGAAAATGGAAATTCGTCCTCCTATTGGTGGAATTTAACGAAAAAGTTTAAAGTCAGGCTACCGAACATTTTAAAGTAGTTTTTATTAGAAGTCGATGGGAGTTTTCGGCTTCCATAATCATTCTTGCCCAAATTTTAAGTCGTCAGCGTACATAAGGTGTCTACCTTACTCAAAACAATCAGGAATATCGTTGACAAAAGGACAAAATAACAGCGGACCAAGCAAGCTACTCTGAATAACTCTACTCCTCACATTTGTTACGTTTTAAATAGCATTCAAGATTTTAACTAGTAGTATGCTAGAATCCAAATACGAAAATATTAAATTTAGAATCTTGTCACCTATGCCCAAAATAGGCAACTATCAGGAGGCAGAGATCATGGTCAACACATTTAAAAGCCTTAATAAGTTTGAACTAGTCTATGTAATGTGTAAAACGGCTGCCTCTGGATTGTAGCACATGATCAAAGAAGAGCTCGCAGGTGTAACAAGATCTTTTTTTCGAGGAACTCATGCTGAGTCGCATTAAATAGGAAGTTCTCTAGTAGGTGATGCATCAGCTTGTCTTCGATCCAGGTCTCCAACATCGTGAGAAGTGTATTTATTGGCCTAAAGTCATCAAATGACGTTAACCAGCCATGCTTGGGTATAAGCAGCACGTGCGTTTCCCTTGATAAAACGGGAAAAGTTTCGCTTTCATGAGCAAGATTAAATATTTTACACAGAAGGGACGAAAAAATCATTTGTTTCAGCTTTTAGAAGACTGACCTGGAAGCCATCTGGTCCTGGACTATGAGATTGACAAAGAATCCGAATGGCTACGGTCACGTTCAAGAGGTTAAAAGTTAT